CTTTAAAAGGTATCAGGTACACAGAACCAGCAACGCGAACTAAGACATGATGCAAAGTCTGCGATGAAAACCCGAGACCACAGAAGAAGCTAGTGGCAACATATAGGGCAGTGAGGTGACAAGCTGCAGACCTTGAAGACTAAATGTGCAGCAGTGTGGCCAGCAGTGTGCACTCTGTTCTCAGGGGGGCATCTGGGGCAAGAGGAGTTATGTAGAGACACTTCAAAAAAGATCCGACTTTTTCGACCTAAAAGTTAATTTTTTTTTTACAGTCAACACATAACTGGGTTTTGTTCCTTAGAGCCATTGTTAGCAGAAATAATTAAAAGTTGCCATTTTCTGTATGACTTCAGTCTCTTATTACTGCGGAGGAATTTTGCCCTTTACTTCTGCAAAACTTTGCTTCAGTTTCTTTCCATCTTTGTGGAAATGTGTTTGTGCACCATTTTGTTAAGATGCTACCACAATATTTCAAAAGGGTGACCACCTGGATTTTGACCCAGTCCGTGCTTTAAATTGCAAATTCTCAGAATTACTTTCCATAATTGTGTTGTAGATTAGCTGCTATGTTTGATTTCACTGTTGCATGACTCAGTTTGGGCCATATTGAACGGGCTAAGCTGGGGTGAATTTGCTGGTATCTTCACTCCTGGGAAGATTTGGTTTCTCTCCTAAATGTTTTAGCAGAAACATTTACTATTTTATAATAATCTCTACTTCATACTTTATCTGTACTTTATATTTCATAATAATCTCTTTAGAAAGATGGACTGCAATTTGTTTGGACATTGCCTTCTTGCCCTTTCCAGATTGATTATTAGCAGCTATAATTGCTTCTCTAAGATCACTGCTGATATATTTCTTCTCTGAGATTATGTTGTTACACACCTGTAAACTATGAACCAGCAAACTGCCCAAACTTCTCCTTTTATAGAGACGGTGACACTTGCTGATAATCAGCGTACTGAGTGCATTTGATTAGCAGAACCTGTTGCTACTTTCAAATCCTATGAAAACAGAGAGTTTGCACTCATCTTTTCCTTTTTATGCACCATTATTCTTCCATGAACGGATCGAGTTAAGAATAAAAAAGCACAGATATCCCAGTCTTACCGTTGTGTGACATCCCAACGTTGAGGCACTTCTGGAAACGGCAGTATTGACATTTGTTGCGTGACTTCTTGTGAATACGACAGTGGAGATCACAGTGATCGTACACCAGCTTTAGCCTGATTGTGCGTCTGAAGAAACCCTGTGAGGCGAAAAAAAGGACAGTCAATGCAAATCCAGTGGACACACTTTGTTAACTTGTAGGACCAAAGTGCAGTAAATTTATCAATAAGAAAGGTAAAAAAAATATTCTCAAGCCAAAATGTCAGCTTTTCTGACACCATGTTTAAACTTGAGATACATCAATGTAAAGTAAACACATGCTTTTAATGTTTGATCTGATGGAAAATAAATCTTAATGCCCACAATTTTATGTAAAAAAAAAGGGTAGACTGTATTCCAAGGTGAACTATTATACGTTTAACCTTAGATCCAGAGAAGTCATAAGATCTGCTCTTATCTCAGCAATTAAGTTTCCTGCCACGGTCAAACTCCCAATGCACACACCTTGCCAAACATATTCTGAAGACAGTTTTTGTTTCCTTAATATGAACTCAGCAAACAGATAAGTTGAGTAGGATCAACAATAAAACCAACAAAACCTTAAAGCTGCACTGAAAATGTGATGTGCGTTTAGAAACTCCCTGCTGAGTTCTTTGGGAATGCTTGTCCGTTTTGACATCTACACCACGATCCAGATGTTCCTTGTTTAATCGCAGGTTATTTAGAGAAGGAGGAAGTTAAAGGGGGTCAAGCCTCCGCCTCAATAAAGAATGTTTTCTATTTTGAAACAATTAAGGGATTGCCTGCTTGGCTGACCCCCTTCTTCTGGTGAGCGTCCCCTGAGACTTCAGCAGAACAATAACTGCTGTAACTCACTTTCATTCAGGCCAGAAAGTTATGACATGACGGAGTGGCAGAAAGACACAAACCCCCTTGTGCAGCCACAGAACTAACAGTGTCAAAAACGAACAAATGCAAACATAGGCGCCTGGTTACTGAAATGTATTAAGCAATCCTCCACCCCCACATCACAGCATTCAATCCCAGAGGGCCTAAAAAAATCCTACCAGATGAAAGAAATACGGTTTTCTGTTGATTAATATGTGTCTCACAGATATGAAATATTCATCGAACAGCTCATGAGACAAATTGGTCTAATTTGGCAGCGTGGCTGTCTTTCCTCAGTGGCAGACATCCTGAGTTTGAACCTCCGTAAAACCTTTTTGAAATTTTTGTTCTGTTGGTTCTAATCTAATTACACCAATAGAAAGAGATTGCATTGTTTTAAAACATTGTTTCAATAATCAACAGGTAATTTAATCTGTATGCATGTCGCTGAGCAGAAGTGACTCTGTTGTAGATTATCAACTGGCCTAAACTGCTTTCAGCCCACACCTGCAATACTGCAAAAGGTTTTCTACTGTATTTTATCTGATTTAAGGTGAGTGATAAATGTGGCAGTGATAAAAGTGCAGCTATAACACTGATACAAATTCTGTTGATGTTACCTTTCACCTTCATGGCAGTAAACTGACTGAAGAGATGATTGACATGACAGTGGGATTAAAATTTAAAATTTATTTGTCATTTTTATTTTTTGCTGGGTAGTTTAAAAAAAATAATGCAAATTAACTGGAAATGTGTCTTACTGTGAGACTGCAGGGAGAAATAGGGGAGCAAAAACGTGTTTGCTCTCTAAATTTATTGATCTTTTGCTTCTACAAAAATCAAAATCAAAGTCTGTCGAGCTCAGAGTACATTGTGTATTATGAAGCCTAACAAAACACAAACTTTTAAGTATTTAAAAAATATATAGATATTATAATAGGAATGTCAAATATCAAGCAAAAGGGTTAATGGTGAAGAAACTGTTAAATGTTAAAGTGAGCCCAATAAAAAAATGTGATTGGTGAAAAAACAAAGCTTTCCAAATGTTGTTAAACAGAAAGACTATTTGAGATTGAAGAATGAGATCCAAAAAAAAAAAATGAAAAGGGAGCTTAACCTCTAAAAATTGTCCACAATGTGAAACGTAACAGCACAACGTTTCAAAGTAGCAACGTCTTTGCAACTCAGTGCATCACAGCATAATCCTCCTACAGGGTATCACTCGCACAAACAATGGCTGATGTGGGGAGATGTAGAGAGAACAATAATTCACAAAGAACATCTTTCATAAAACCCACATGCCAAAAGTACAGTATAAGACTTATCTAAACCACATGAGGTTTTGACATCTGTGGACTGCTCTTACAGTAGCCCCTTCAGATAGTGTTAATTTAACTCCATTAAATGGTTTTTAAAACAATGAGTTCTTAGTTGAAACTTGGTTGTTTGTTTGAAAACGCAGGTGTTTAGATTAAACAGGATGTGGGGTCTTTGTTGCTCACTCTGACTGATGCTCAAGACCATCTTTGAAGAAGGGAACCCCCTCAAAGACGTTCCGACTGACAGAAGTAGCTGAGTTGATTGTTTGGATATGTCATTTTTACATACAAATTGTTGACTTATACATACTAAAATATATCATTTTTATTTTAATGTTAAAATACATCCCGATTTAATTTGTAGCTGATAATGATGACCTGTACCACACACCGACCAAACGCCTTAAAGTTTCATTCAAATCAATTGGAGCAAGCAGTGGATTTGTAGGACAACAGTTTGTTTGGTTCATTACATACAACACCATTTAAAACAAAAATGAATAACGTTCTCATGTTGTTAGTCAAAATTTGTATTTTGTCTTAATATTAGATGACTTAATGGCTTTGCTTTTGTGGGATTTACATTTTTCTGCCTTAAAGTAAATCCTGACATTTAGCAAGGAACAAGAAATATATATCGGTGTGTAGCAATAAAAAGGGATTTTTGTAAAGATGGATTAAAAAAATAAATAAAAATTAGCTCACAGGTACATATAGATTTTAGTACACACTTACATGCCTTTCATGTAAGTTTCACTTTAAACCTGTGAAACCTTCTTGGAACCAAAGTATAAGGTGAGTACCAAGTACTACTGCTGAAACTGAAAATCCTTCTCATTTATGCTTGGAACATAGTGTCACAATTTATAGTTCAACTTCCTATAATGTCAAAATATTTCAAAGAAAATGGAAATATGTCTGACACTTCACCCACACTCTATCAGTTATTTATACTCCTTACAGACAGCACAGACAGACACACCGACAGAAAGTTAAAGGGCTGGCTCGTTGTACGCAGAGGCAGATACCGGTGTTGAGTGGAAAAATGCATGGGGCTTGTGGTTAGAGTGACAGACATCAGAAAGATAGAAAAATGCCCACTTCTCTCTGGGCATAATACAATTATTTATTCCACCGACATATGGCAGATAACATGGTGACACAGAAAAAGGAAGCGACCAGCACAGAAGCAGCTTAGAGAATCAGAGACAACAACTGTGACACTGGTTAACATTTCCTGGCAGTATTCTGAGGTTTTCTGACTGTCAGGGTTTTTTTTTTTTTCTTTTTTTCTCAACCGAGGCATTACCTTTTGAAACAAGCAATAAATAATTTGTTTGCTGGTGTGGACTTGAATTGACTTCAGAGTTACAGAGAGGATTTATTAAAGTATGGAAAATAAGCTATCTGAAACAAACTGGCTCCATGTGAAAATATGCCTCTCCCTCCCCTCACTAAATCATGAATTAACAGTGATTAAACACAGGCTGAATTAAATTTACCCAGACAAATTAGCCCTGATTACAGACAGGCTTGTAGAATCAAGAAATCACTTAAGTAGAACCACTCTGATTAAAGCAAGTAGACTAAAAGATCCTGAGAAGCGATACATCATGCTCTTATATGAACAAACTCAATAAGTCATAAAAGGGCCTGGAAGTTTCTAAGACGTTGGAACCCCAGGAAAGAAAAGTGAGAGCAATTCTGTAAAAAGGAAGAAAATATTTAATAGTGGAGAACCTTTCCAGAAGAGTAAGGCCTATCAGAACTACTCCGAGTGTTGCACTGCTGACTCACACAGGAGGTCAGGAAATGAACTTTGGAAAAAAGTAAGTAATTCAGGTCTTACCCGTCTCCGCTAAGACACGGGTAAGAAAAACAAAGACTTGGAAAAATGATATCTATTGCAAAGGGGGAGTTTGAAGGCCAGATCACTGCTGACTAAAGAACATTAAGGCCCAAATTTCATCTTAAAATTCCCCATACATATGGCGAAATATTTCCTGAACTATTAAGACAGTGGTTTAACTCTTTGAAAAGTGTCGGTCTGTTACATCCAATATAAAACTAACTGCATTTTAAACAGAAGGCCACAGCTAAAGTTAACCACGGTGATGGTCATGTGACAGTCTGGTGCTGCTTTGTTGCATTAGGACCTGGACAACTTGGAAGAACTGATGGATCCTGTAATTCAAAATCATGTCTGCTGGTAACAATGACATAAAACAACTTGCATGCTTTGTTATTGAAACCTAGGTACTAACTAGAGGTTTCCTATTAGAAACATGTAAAGTTTTTCACTTAAGAAAGAGAAAAATAATCTTTAGAATCAGTTTTCTCGTTTCTCGACTGGTTATGTCATTCATGATACATAAGCATAATTCACCTTCAAACCTATCAATGCTGTATATCACTCTGCTTTAAGACTAATCTCTGGAGGTAGCCCACAGCAGGACGTGCTACATTAACCAACTTTATTGCCAGCTGTTCCTGTTGGATGCAACCAGCACTTCCACGTATTTCCCAACAAGCCAATTCCAAATTCTTCAAACCTGCTTACCTGGAATTTTACTGATAAAAAAGTTAACCACAATCATGGCTATATACATTAGTACAGATACACGTCATACCTGGAATATTCAACAACTGAATTTCTTTCTCAGTAAAAAAAAAAAAAAAAAAAAATCACTCATTTTATAAAAAAGAGTTGCATGATGGAAGAGAAGCGATTATGAAACTGTAAAGCACCATGAGACAGGAAACCCACCACAAAGAGTCAGTGCTGATTAATATTTGGATCATTTCAGGTGGTGTTGTTTGTCCATTGCTAATTTCTGGATATATAATTTTAGTTTCTGTCATTTTATACTAATAGTTTATATTTTATGGGGTTTTGAACTGATTCTTTAAAGAAAAGAAAGTCCCTTAAATTCATTATAGAAGATAACAAGGCATGTGTATCTCAAAAAATGATCACATCCTTGGAATAATATACTCATATGCAGACAGTGTTATGCATTTCAGTTTATTTTGAAACCCAAAATTATATTTTTAAAAAATTTGAATGTTACAGAAAGCCTTTATAAAACACTGTCAATAAGAAATCATCACCCTACTGAACAGCATATCCATGCACTGTACAGTATGAACACTCAGTACTTGCTCGGGGTTCCTTTTGCATGAATTACTGCGTCAGTGACACAGAGACGATCAGCCAGTGGTTCTGCTGAGGTTTGAAGGAAACCAAGGTAGCTATAATAGTGGCCTTCAGCACATCTACGCTGCTGGTTCTGGTGACTCTCATCTTGTGTAAACATACCTGAATACAACTCTGTGAACAGCAACTTCTTTAGCAATATTGTTTTTTATGGCTACACTCATTGACTATCTGAGAACTGTCAAGTCAGCGGTCTCCTCCAGGTTTCTATAGGCCATAAAAGAGAATCTGTGTTTTTATTCGTGCTGAGTTATGATCCAATTTTCTGAGAATCAAAATGAGTTGAGTTTTCATCAGTTTGTGCCAGAATTATCTGATTAAAATGGATCGTCATGTCTGTGAATTTAATTCACATTTTGAATTAAATTACCCTGCCAATGATTTTTTTTTTTTTTATTTATTGAGAAAAATCTTTATTCAAAGAGACATCTTTGATTAATTAATATACCTGCCATTTACTGTATCTTTTCAGGCCTACCTTACAGCCCTCACAGGCATGGACCCCATAGTGAAACCCCGAGGCTTTGTCTCCACACACGCGACACTCGATGTTCAACGCTGAAGCTGATGCATCGTCTGGGAACTTGGAGAACAAAGGGTTGTCAGAGTACTGTGGCGGTGACTCTGGTTCCATCTTAATTGGGTCTAAAAGAGGAAAAAACAAAAGACACATTTCAAATTTATGACTATTGATCATTTAGTTGCTTCAACCAGCAGTAGCTTTCTATTCTACTCTTCGAATCTACAAAATTTTTAATCGGAGCAAATTAAGCTGAACTTACTGTGCGTCTCCATCTCTGTCCTGTAGCTGTGCATGTTTGTGTAGTCCATGTTCGTCAGGTGTTCTTCACTGAGCGGAGGACTGATGTCGTAGGCCAAGCCGGCAGATGAGATGGAGGATACAAGCGGGGGAGACAAGGAGGAAGGGATGGAGGAGGAGGAAACGGAGGCATAGTCTGACGTGGACAAATGTTTCATGTCGAGGTAGTGGGGGCTGTCGTCCAGCTCTGGCAGGTCCACTGTGCTCAGGCTGAAACCGACCGGCCACGCTAGGAGCTGCTGGGTGTCCACCATGTCTGTGGCGCAAACAGAAGAGATAAGAAAGCATTAAAAGATGCAACACAAACTACTCCTGATTACATGAGTGTTTGTGGCTTTTCAAAAACACAACTGTTGAATAAAGACAGTGGAAATCTGAAGCAAAGAAGATTAAGCATGCCTGTAAACTACAAGTCCACATACAGAATTCTGCTGAAGGTTAATCATTAAAAATGTCTCCTCGGAAAAGTTCAAAACATTAGGGCGTGCATGCACACTCCCATGCAAACACCATGAGGAGTACCCACAGTCCTCCCGCTTGCTCTTGAAGTATGTCTGTTATCATGCAAACAGGGAGGCAGACTGTGTCACGGGGAGAACAAGACGAACTCTGGCACTGAGGAACGTCTCCTCTGCTCAAAACACTGTCTTCCTCTCATGCTGTTTGGGTGCCTAGTGGTGCGATTGCCCAACTAAAGGACACGGAAAGGAGGCCAAGGATACATGACTTGATATAAGGCACAAAAAAATAACTGCCTTTTTTGAGCGCTAAAACATCTACGGACTTGTTAAGACTTAAGATTTTTTTCTTACTATATGCTCATTTTCTGAATACCTTCACTGTGAAAAATGGGAGGTACTTAGTAAACATCTGTATCTATTTATTATCTTTATTTAGATTCAGAACTAGTAGATAACTAAATTTATCAGCATCCCTTTTCATTACCACTGGTCTGCTCACCATAGTTACAACTTAGCTAGATTTGTTTTTGTTGGCACAGATCATTGAAGGTGTTTTCATCCAAAATGGACAGACATTGGAGGAAAAAAAGTCAGCCGAGATTATCAAAGTCCAACCAGCCATCAGAGGGTACTAGCGTCCACATGAAAGCAAACCAAATAGAAAGCTTTACGCCCCGAGGGTAAGTTTGCCCAAGGCTGTGGTGTAATGCAACAATTTACAGAATGTTGGGAGATTGTGATTTTTGCTCTCGTCATCCTCTCAGCAAGTAAAGCACCATTAAATCAAGCACAGGCCAAATACAAAATACAAAATATCAGCTAGATAAAAAAATATTTTCAGTCAAATGTTAATAACGGATTTGATTAGCAATAAAGTTTTGTTCTTCCATGATCTAATGTATAGCATATGACAAATGCATTCATAACCTTGCAACCTTTTTTCCAATTTTGTCAAAGACTTCAGTAGATTTTATTTGGATGTACATAATTGACTTATGTTCTTCAAACTGACTCTGGAGCTGCATAAGGTCCTTAAGGCCCTTGACTGTGGTGCGGTAAGGTAATTTTATTTATATAGTACATTTTCAGCAACAAGGCAATTAAAAGTGTTTTACATGAATTAGAGGAAATACAAATACAACTGTGGTTCCTGAATAACCAAAAACCAAGAATTTACTAATGTTTATTAATACAAAAGCATTAAAAAGTGTTTTTCCTTTGCATTTTTATGCAATTCATGCAAAAGAAAATTAACAAAAATATGACTAGAAATACAAAATGAATGTTCTTTTTTATTAAATAATTTGTTGTAAAAGGGCCACTAGAATATCCCATATGTGTTTGGATACTTTTATGTAATGTTTTTATTTAAGGTAAAGTGCAATAAACTTTGTAAAATTATTTACAAAGTCACTGATTATATTTTTAACAAAAAAAACAAAAAAAAAAACAGAAAAGAAATCAGCAACTTTCACAAATAATCAATGGATCCATAGCTCTGTTCAGTGAATGTAACCTTTATAACCTGTACAGATTCTCAAAATAACCCCCAATCAACCATTCAGATGCTGATTTGGAACGAAAACAAAGCAAAGAATGCTAATTATGCAACAGGACACAACGAAAATAGTAGGCTCAGATGGCACAGTAGCACCCGGTATGATAATGACTTCCACTGGCTCCAAAGATACTTGGCAAAACAACCCTGTGGAACAAACATCCTCTTCTCTCAAACACATATTGTTTCCTTTTCACTTGTTTTGAATGTGGCAGCAAAAAATCAGTGGGGTCCACTTAAAATTCACATGGGCTGAGGTATTGTTCTACTACAAGCAGAGGAATGGTATGTGCATAAGTGTGTGAAACTGATGACTATTAATACCCGAAGAAACCTGGTTATTTTTCCTTTTGCTGGAGAGTTGCCAGCTGATGCAGAATTAAAATAGACTGAGGAAGAGACTGTTGAAGAGAGTGACTTGTGCTCTGCTTGGCATCGAGTTATTAGATGGAGAAAGAAATCCAGTGGGAAAGAGAGGAGCTCCAGAGGCAAAAGGCAAGAGAGATAAAGCAATGGGTGACAGAAAGCAAGTCCCTGGGCTGGTGGAAGGATTTGAACTGCACTCTGGAGACTCTTAAGAAAACTCTCATCTGAGGAAATTCATGCTCTGTGTTCAGCACAACATGGGAAAAGAAAAAGGAAGGCGACTGCAGTGAAACAAAACTTTTTCAATTATGTCGTAACTGAGGGTGAAAACAAGTTCGGGCTCAAACTTCACTTCCGAGGTTGTGCATCGAAACAGTGCCATGCAAAATCTTTTCAAGTTTGAATCTATGAGTATTGTGTAGGAAAACAAGTTGTCAGGCTAGATAAAAGGTGACAAATTATTAGTAAGGGGTGTTTGGTTTGTGTTGCCTTAGTAGAGGCGTGTTCATGTCAGCACGTGTGCAGGAGCTGCAGTGATGTCTCCTGCCGCTTCTCGGTTTCCACGTGTCAAGGCTTGACTTCGAGGTAGACGTACAGTTTGGATAAATGCTTTCTATTATTTGGCACTTCAGTTGTGACACACTGATAGTGTTTAAACCCAAAAAGGCCAAGCAAGTCTGGCAGCCACAAGCTCCTTTCACTCTGTGTTTGTCTTAAAGGGTGAGTTTTCCAAGAAAGATATTTAAAAGAAGAACTCAGGTTTTCTTACTGTAAAGAATTACTGAAGTAGTTAAGGTAAATAATTTGCAGACACAAACTGTTCTTCAAGTTGTTTAAGAGAGACTGTGCCACTGTCAACACAGCTAGAATGCAACCACTTTGGAAAAAAGAGGTGAAATCAAGGGAAATATGTGAAATCATCCCTAAGGAACAAAGTTGCAAAACCAATGTAATGTTCAAGATGCTCAGATTTCTTCACAACAGATATGGCTTTTTCCAAAATGGTCAGACACAAAGGAGCAGGATAAAATTACTCAACAGACTGCATAGTCCCTTTCAAAACAGTTCAAATCTTTCCAATTTTTTTTACATTTCATAATGCTAAAACTAAAATGTCCAATGTATTTTATTTTGGTTTATAAAAGACCAACACTGAGTAATAGTAACTTGTGCACGTATAAATGAAACATAGCAATACATAACTTTAGCATTTATAAAATTAGTAGAGTCTGCTAAGTAAATAGTTCTCGGTATGAGCACAGCTCAGCTGTTCTGTGAAGGCCTCAAAGGTTTGGCTTCGGCTGTGAAGACCAAGGAACACAGCATACACGTTGGAGATAAAGGAAACAATTGTGGAGAAGTTCAAAGGAGGGTTAGGTAATAAAACCATACCCTAAACTCTGAACTTCTAATGGTTTGTTCACACAGCAACAATAAAAAATTGTTGGTGGATTTTCAAAACCTTAGAGACAATAACAAGTTTGATCCTACAGTGTGTTGTGTATATCCATATGACAAAGACAGTCATATGATAGTTTGTGGACTCTTTATAACAGAGAAAAAACAAAACAAAAAGAGGTCTGCAAAGTCCACCATCCTTCTATTTCTGGTGCACCATGGCAGTTGTTTTGTCTTCTGTATTTTGGATGCTTCTCAGTCACATTCAACAGACTCATTTGTCCTCGAGGAACACCTGGGATTTCTGGCCAAGACAATTCAACGTGCTCAATATCCCCAATTTGAGGGTAGAGCAGTCCCAACGTCCTTCCAAGCAGACTAGATCAGTCTTAAGATTACAACATTATCTTTACAGTCATCAAGGCATCCTTAACATTTATGGAAGGGGAAGATTTGGTCAAAGATCAGCATAATACCAAAACCAAGAAATCAAATTTGACAGGAAAAAGCCAAGAGGCTTATGGTAACTCAGGAGGAGATACAAAGATTAACAGCTCAGATGAAAGACCCTGTCAAAAAAACTATCAGTCCACAAACATGGGCTTTATACAAAACCCACATTTTGTATAAAGCTCTGGTCAAATGAAAACAACTTTTAAGGTTTTTGTCCCTCATGACACACTATGTGAGTGTGCAACGCTAACACAACCTTGACTGAACTCTCTAAACTTGCTGTGCGACTTTGAAGTGACAACATCCATTTCACTTAGGAGTATATGTCGGAAAGGCCCAGTCAAAGTCCAAACCGAAAACCAATCAATCCCAAATGAAATGCATCCCATATAAATGAGTTACAGCTATTTTGCTGTGTTATGTTAAACCCTCCCAAATAATTCTGGTTACAATTGATGAAATGTGAAATGTTCAAGGTGAACACTTATTAGGCTCTGTGGCTGGAGTCCTTATTTATCTCATGATTATTTTTTGTGAACTTTGTTATTTATCTTAATTTGAAAATCATTTAATTTGCCACTCAAATGTTTCACCCCCTTCTTATAGACAAGCTTTTTGAAAATACCAAAAATATTGGTAAACGGTTTCAACTGTCTATTTCCATAATCCGTACCAACTTTAGGTACAAAAGGACATCCTGGGACCCAAGACTGTTTTTTTTTTTTTTGTTTGTTTTCTGATATGAAGTTCTACGGATCTAAACAGTCATTTGAAACTTCTGTACCTAAGAGAGATCATCCAACAATGCACGTAACAAACAACAATGTTTTCAAATAAATCTCA